TTCTTTCAAACCCGATGTGGGATGCGCTGCATCATCCACCCCCCCTTGTGGGCCCAGCGGTCACCGCTGGCACATGGAATGGCTCTGATACCAACTGATGCAGACCCTATTAAGATATTGTCCGCTTTGGGCTACTTCCGCCACCCGCACCGTTTTGTTCTTGGCTGGGCTTCAATACACACCCACCAAAACGCGTCTTACTAGTGAAGGTATCCACATCCTCATATAAGGCCTGCTTCGTTTCCTTTCAAACCCGATGTGGGATGCGCTGCATCACAGAAGTACTTTAGGTATTAGCAATTGTGTGTAATGTGAAACCAAAATCATGATAAGAATGACCAGTTAAATTGTTTGGCTTTTGAGAATGTTGCAATGGTCGATGTCATATGAGTAATGCTGTTAAATTAAACGAGCCTGGCTCGAGTTCGAGGCCATAACGAGCCGAGCTCGAGCTCATTTAAAGCTCGTTTAGTTGACAGCTCGACTCGATAAGGCTCGAAAAGAGAATTTTTATATAATTTTTTATAGTTCGTCTCGTTAAAACTCGAGATCGGCGATTTTTGGCTCGTTTATTAAACGAGCCGAGTTCAACTCGTTAAGAGCTCGAGCTCGAGCTTGGCTCGCCTCGTTTACAGCCCTACATATGAGTGGTGCTTCAATTGCTAATCAATATGAGTTTAAATTACTCTTCTTCTCTATTTACATGGTCAAAATTAAATGCCCTCTTCAATATGACATACTTCATGGCTTTCTGTATAAATAACTGCTGAAGATAAAAGTTGTGGTGATTCTTTTGTTTTTACTACAAGAAACTTTTCCCTCCAACTTTGGGAGCGATCCACAAAAGTTTCAAAGAATTGTTTATTCTAGTTTACCTCTTTTTGTGGGACTATGATTGTTGCTAGGTATCTAAGAGTTGCACCATTGAATTATCTTCATCTGTAAATCTTGCATATGGCTGATCCTTTTAATTGTTTTTGATTTGTTTGCTTGATGGGAAAGAGATACATTTATGTTTGTACATTCTGCTTTTATTGGTTTCTTCTGAGTACCTATTGGTTGTTAAGGAACATTCAGTTGCCTTTGTGTGTGTTCTTCTTCATCTGGATACTTTTGCGACGGTTTGAATCATGGGTTCTTTTTATTTTCACTTGACAATGCTGCATAAATGCAAGCTTCGCACACCAAGGGCAACCTCAAAACAGTTAGGAGACTGTGCATGTTGCCTGCAGTTGTGCTTGTTGTTCATCTGAATTTGCCCTTAGTCTTAAATCATTAGTGTTAGACTTTAGTTCTCTCTTTCGGTTTGCCTTCTGATTTCTCCAACAACCCATTTTCTTGAAATCAGTATCCGACTGACTTAGATAGAAGCCACATGGATGTTTATATGCATATCTTTTGAAATCATTTGCATCTTTCTCCACATATTACCATATATTTATTTACTTTTATCCTGTTTTACGCTGTAGCTTTAATCCAAGAAACTCAAATCGGTTGCTCGCTCATCCACTGAGGCCGAATATCGGTCCACGTCGGCTACAGTGCAATGACATAAGGCTATGTTATGAGATAGGCATACTGGGGAAATGATGGCCTCCAAGGGTCCAAGATCCAAACTGGACCATGAGTCACGGGCTAAGCGGCAGAAGGTGAGCACTTCAACTTTATTTTGGCAAGTTAGTTTCAAGAAGCATGTCGACTGTATGGATGAGATTGAAAATGGACACAACTAGCTGAATGAATATCTCTAGTTTAGTCAGAGGTCCATTAGTTTGGCATTACTAAGATTTTCAGAAGTTGTCTTCATCACGTTCTTTTATGTCTCTAAAGTATTTTGTAACATTTTTTTTTTTCATACTCAAAATTTGTCTCTGTAGAAAAATAAATTCATTTGGGACCCTGAAATGGTTTTATTGATAACCAGCTATAGTAGTTTTGTATCAATGTAATTAATCTGCATGGATCCTGGTATCAGGTGCATCCGAATGGATTGTCTCAAATTTCGTATTTTACAGGACCTGTTTTGTTCGTGCAATTGCTAGCTGATTGTAGCATAGAAGGACAGTTTCTTGACATTTTTCCTTGTAGTTTAACTACTTATCTCAACGTTTTTTATGTTTCATCCTAGGCACTTGAGGCTCCGAAAGAACCTCAACGTCCTAAAACTCATTGGGACCATGTGCTTGAAGAAATGGTCTGGTTGTCTAAGGTAACAAAATATATTTTCTATTGACACTTTGCTCGATTTGTTTGGCTTATTCATGCTCATGATTGTTTAACTGTAGGACTTTGAGGCAGAGAGGAAATGGAAACTTGCTCAGGCAAAGAAAGTTGCAATAAGAGCCAGCAAGGGCATGCTTGATCAGGCCACTAGAGGGGAGAAAAGAATAAAGGTGCTTGGTATTCTTATCTCATATTAATGTGATGATATATATACTTAAAACAACAACAACAACAACATACCCAGTATATTCCCAAATGGTTGGGGTCTGGGGGGTCAGTTGTACGCAGACCTTACCCTTGTAATTATACAAGGAGGCTGTTTCTGTAGCGACCCAAGGTGCATTGC